GTAGGGTAATTATCATTTGTAATTTAATTTTGAAGATTATGTGAATGAAGACCCTTAAAGGGGGCAAGCTAGTGTTGTTGGAACACTTAGCCAAATTTTGGTCCTAATTGGGCTTGTAGTGTTTTAAAGGTCTTAAATTTTAACTATGTTTTCTTTTCTAATCCTCGTTTAATCAGTCTTGATTTAAATTAGATCACTACTAAGCCCTTAAGACCTAGGTGAGTGTCTTAATTAATTTTGAAAATGTTAAGTTTTAGGTGATCATGATTTATTATTTGAATTTTATTTGAACATCAAATAGGGGTATTAAATTGAATAATTATTGACTTCAAATGTCATACCCCTAAGTCCTAGGTTCATTAAATTTTAATAAACTTCCAAATTTTAATAATCTAGAAATTTATTAATTTATCCTTTTAATTAGGAAAGTGAGGTTGGTTTCTACCAATTAATCTTCTTTTTAATTTCAGTCATCCAAACAAGTTAATTAAGATCAGAGGTTGTCTATTTCCCTCCTTGAATTAAAGTCTAAATGTTAATTAAGGCCAAATAACTAAAATTACACTTTTGCCCCTAAGGCTCTAACACTTCATAATTTGTCAAATTCAAATCAAATGACTTTGAAATTTTTATTCTACCTCATTCATGGAACAATTAAGACATCAGCGGAGAAAATGTGATTTTTCAAATTTTAATTTAATTTATATAATTATTTTCATGCAAAAATGAGATTTTTCAAAGAAAATTTGCTAACTTGACCAAGTTGAAGCCTAATCACTAATAATTTTTACTAGAGGTAGATCTAAACCAGAGATCCATTTGGACAAAATTTCATGATTTTTTGAATGTTATTTAAACTATATAATTATTTTAAGTTCTGTGGTTTATAATTCTTTTAAGTTTTGGGGTTTTTATTAAATATAAAATATTTTAAATGGGGAATATTAATTTTTGTATTTTTGAAAAATCTCCTTGAGATCAGAGAACCCAGAGAAGCAAATTTTATATTTTTCTGATTTTTCTTTGATTTATTGGAATTATTTTAGTGGAAATTCGTTTTTTAGCTTTTAAAAATTATTTTTATTTAGAAAATTAGGAAAAATATTTCA